TTGCTGGATTATTTTTCTACTTTCGGCTTTTAAATTAGTAGGCTTGCAAAGTCAAGCTTTAGTTGCGGCATGCAACTGAGAGTACCTACGATCATATGACGAAACAGTTGGCTCCTTCCGTTCTATCAAACATTTATCATCAGCGGGTGTTTGGTAGGTCCTACTTCTTTACTTCCCCTCTGTTGATTCTGTCTGTCTTATTTTTTCTCAAATCTAAATAATCATTATTGTGTCGATATGCTTTACTTTACTCAAAACAAAACATAATTTATCAACCTTATCTCTCCTTCTGCTGTTCTTCGGCATTTATGTGACTCATTTGTGTTGCCAGTGCGGTAAATGTTTCTTCTTCTTCCGGTGTCAGGTCTGGAGCACACATTGACGACCATGGTACTCCGTCCTTTCCTGTTGTCTGTTTACTGTTAAACGCTTACGTCACTTTAAAGAACCCCAAATCAAAAGCAAAAGAAATGTGGATGTATAACCAATAACCACCACCTTTCGTGTATGTTCCAGGGCCCAGGAGTTACCAACCATGGCGGAAGAGGAACCCGCAACCACTGGCGCCGCCTCAGACTGAACCTAGGACGTCCGCGTCTGCTCTTCCTTCAACACCTGGAGAAGAAAAAAAATAAAACAAGAAAGAAAATGAGTTGACTTTTTTAAAACATCAGTGCTCAACTTTATGAAAGGAGCAAGGAAGTGCCAGCCCTATTTGTTGTGATTACTTACATCAGTGCTCAACTTCATGAACGGAGCACAGAAGTGCCAGTCCTTTGTTGTGATTAACCAAAGAAAAGGTGGAGATATTTTTTAAAATATATTCTTCGCCTTGCACTTATATTTATCGCCCTGTGGGATTTAGACCTCTCAAGTGTCATCTGAAAACTTGAAAGACTGTAGAAAGCTTCACCATATTTTTCCCGGGGAAAAGAAAAACCCCTAATCATCATTGTTGTGATTCATCTGGACACTTTTGAATTTAAACGCACTTTTTCCCTATTGGACAACAACGTACGGGTACCATTTCATTCCACTGTTCTCAATTCCATTTCACAATCAATCAAAAGGCAAAGTGTACTTACTCATCCTGCCGCAGCACGCGTCACCGCTTCATTCAAGTAAGGACCTCCTCAGCCATAAACACCACAAGTCACAACCCAGAGGGAGGACTCGCTATTACTTTACCTCAGACAACAACTACAACGCTGTCACATCGCAAGGATCCTGGGCACAGTTCAGACACGCACTTTTCTTATCCTATGTTCGTCTTCTGCTGTCGACTCATACATCATTTCACAGCCTGGTGCGCGTGAACTTTTGTTTATCCGACCTCAGTGCCCACTGCCCCTGAGCGACCACGTTTTCCAGCGTTGCTGTTGTTGACCCGTCTTTGAGTGTGAACGTTTTGTTTTGTAAGAGTGCAATACTGGTGATTCATCTTTTTTATCTTTTTTCCCCCTCCGACACCTTGCTGTGGTCTCATTAACAGAAGTCGCGCGTCATTATCCTCTTCCATATAAGCCTCTTGTTGACTGCTCGGATTGGTCAGCCAGACATACGTGTTTCCAGGGTTCCCATGGTGACAAAGCAGTTGATGGCTGCAGAGTTGGTGGTTCCCAGCTGCGGTGTTCGGTTTGTCTAATTGTAAGTTGGCCTCCCGGCTAGAATTACATACTAGCTAATTAATGAAAATGTGGGGCTGAGTGTTGTTTTAATAGTGCTGTGTCAGCGTATACTGTAGCGCGCGATTATTTATGTTGTTATTATTTATTATACTGATCTGTAGAGCTTTTTACTTGTCTGGTCTTCGAGTTTTCCTTTCCCTCTCCTCTTTCCCTGCCCCCTCCTGCTCCTGCTCCTCCTCCTGCTCCTGCTCCTGCTCCTCCTCCTCCTCCTCCTCCTCCTC